CCCTCCTGTGACGACAGGGCGCCAGCCAGACTGCGCATTCATTCGAAACAAACAACGCAAATACAAGCACATCATACACACAGCCAAATGCAGACAGTACGGAAACATCTGCGCAGTAATCGTATTGCAATAAACATAACAGATTGCGTCATTACAGATTTTTGTAGCCTCCTCGCATAAACACTACCACGTTGACTCACGAAACATGCCAGAGCTCCAGCCAGACCGGAACGTCATGGGAAATAAACAAGGTGATCAGCGCGCAAAGCCACTGCACCCTAGATGAAGCGCCGTCCACATGCAAACAGTGCGCACTGTGGTTCTGAAGACACATTGCACAGCAGATTGCGGAAAGCATCTCGAGCTTTTGCTTAGCCGCCACGCAGAAACGAAACGCCAAACCTCGTGCACGGCCACGCGAAGCTAAAGCCAAAGCGGGGTTCCACTTATGGAAATAACGAGGCTGCTCTGAAACTCCGAAATTAGTCAAGGCTTCATCGTCTCAAAGCCGTTTCACGTCAAAAGAACAAAACCGATCCCACTACAACTACACAGCAGACCAAGAATCGCAACTGTCCCTGCTTAGCACGAACCAAACTGTCTTTACTGAGTCTCTCCACAAACTACTAGGAAGCCGGTGCACTATCTCCCGTAAACATTAGCTGCCAGGGCGCGCGAATATCTCTTCTGGTAGAAACGACGTAGCTCCCAAGGTTGAACGTTTTTCCTCTGCGGTGGACCCGGCACCCCAGGGCCGCCGTTTTCGTGACGCATGCTTGCGCCGTCTCTGTAAAGCATGGGCGACATCGATACGAGCGCACGTACTACCTGCGTCAAGAGCCAACTCCGTCAACGCATGCAAAAGCAGCCACTTCGACAGCGAGGCACAAACACATGGCGAAACGAAAGATTCACAGATCCTTGGTAATCAAGGAAATCAAGGCTGACATGAAGACCAAGTGGAACGCGCAGACGGTAGGAGTCCGCAAAGGTTGCATCATTGCATCCGTACTAGGAGAGATTGTGCATATTGGCACGAATTATCAGCTTGACTTCGTCATGCCGTCGGACCTGCAGAAGTACCGCCCAAGCGTGTGAAATGCGGAATTCGTATAACTAGCAAACGATAAACGAACGGCACGCTATCGTACCACCGGAGAATCAGTTGTATGGACAGTGCGGACAAGGACGCTGCGCAGAGTGTGTTATGTGGAGCTTTTACAATCCGACATCGACGTGTCGTCGTCCTACCCAGGCAGCGGCACACGTCCTGGTGCGAACAGCTGGTGAACAAACCAAATGAGCAGCTAAGGGCCACAATGCTTTCTTGCGACTCGTGTCAAACGCGTTCGCGATTACACACAGCGCAGCCTTTTGTGTGTCCACTAGGCATATCGTTTCATCTGTGCATTTACTCGGCGATCTCGAAAATGCATCGACTAAGCGGACCCAGTGTACCGTCGAGCAGAACGTCGTGCGTGCCACATATTGTTCCTCACGCTAATAGCATTCACACGCGATTCGACGAGACAATGCTGATCCGCAACCAATGTGCGGAAGTGTGAAATAGGCTACCAAGCAATTCCAATCAATTGCATGTGGATAGGTAAAACAGGAAGGAAGGCAAATCCGTTACTTGGCAGGGGAGATTTGACGACAGGGCGCCAGCCAGACCGCGCATTCATTTGAAACAAACAACGCAAATACAAGCACATCACTCGCACAGCCACATTCAGACAATAACATCTGCATAGAAATCGTATTGCGATAAACATAACAGATTGCGTCATTACAGATTTTTGTAGCCTCCTCGCAAAAACACTACCACGTTGACTCACGAAACATGCCAGAGCTCCAGCCAGACCGGAACGTCATGGGAAATAAACAAGGTGATCAGCGCGCAAAGCCACTGCACCCTAGATGAAGCGCCGTCCCCATGCAAACAGTGCGCACTGTGGTTCTGAAAACACATTGCACAGCAGATTGCGGAAAGCATCTCGAGCTTTTGCTTAGCCGCCACGCAGAAACGAAACGCCAAACCTCGTGCACGGCCACGCGAAGCTAAAGCCAAAGCGGGGTTCCACTTATGGAAATAACGAGGCTGCTCTGAAACTCCGAAATTAGTCAAGGCTTCATCGTCTCAAAGCCGTTTCACGTCAAAAGAACAAAACCGATCCCACTACAACTACACAGCAGACCAAGAATCGCAACTGTCCCTGCTTAGCACGAACCAAACTGTCTTTACTGAGTCTCTCCACAAACTACT